CGCTGGCGCCAGCGAATGCTGCGTGCCGACAACACCAGCGCCATCGTCATCACCCTGCTGGAGACGGAGAGCTCACAAGAACCGCTGCATCACTAAGAAGTGCTGCTGGACCTGGCCAAGGTGTCCCAGTCTCCTCCTACCTCCTTATCTCGAGCAGACACGCCCCTCCTCCAGGTAAGGCCTTGTGACACCAAACTACCAGCTTTGTTCTCCAACAGGAAGATGTGGAAAAAACCCCAAACATTCTCCAAACACAGGTTCACCAGTCTGGACAAACTGGGTCCAAAATTAATGAATGTTCCTCAACAGAAAACTGTGAAGACTGAATTTACATAATCTGACCAACAGATTATTTTAATCTGTACAAATCTCTGAGCAGATGGTCGTGATCTTCACTGCACTGGTGCTGCATGTGAAGATTACACTTCTGTTAGAGCTCCATCAGTGCAGAAAACTGTAAACTGGTTTTAGATCAACAACTGCTGAAGAGTCAGGACTGTGGACCAGGTCCTCCATCAGACCAGAGCGGATCAACATTCCCTCCATAAGCATCCAGACCTGGTCTCCTCAAGTCCTCTGAAACATCCAGACCTGGTCTCCTCAGGTCCTCTGAAACATCCAGACCTGGTCTCCTCAAGACCTCTGAAACATCCAGACCCGGTCTCCTCAAGTCCTATGAAATATCCAGACCCGGTCTCCTCAAGTCCTCTGAAACATCCAGACCTGGTCTCCTCAAGTACTCTGAAACATCCAGACCTGGTCTCCTCAAGTCCTCTGAAACATCCAGACCTGGTCTCCTCAGGTCCTCTGAAACATCCAGACCTGGTCTCCTCAAGTCCTCTGAAACATCCAGACCCGGTCTCTTCAGGTCCTCTGAAACATACAGACCCGGTCTCTTCAGGTCCTCTGAAACATCCAGACCCGGTCTCCTCAGGTCCTCTGAAACATCCAGACCTGGTCTCCTCAGGTCCTCTGAAACTTCCAGACCTGGTCTCCTCAAGTCCTCTGAAACATCCAGACCCGGTCTCTTTAGGTCCTCTGAAACATACAGACCCGGTCTCCTCAGGTCCTCTGAAACATCCAGACCTTGTCTCCTCAGGTCCTCTGAAACATCCAGACCTGGTCTCCTC